ACTCCATCTCCTCCTCCAGTCTTCCCAGCAGTATCTTCGTGTATACCTTGTATGCCGAGTCTAGTAGGTTAATTCCTCTGTAGCTCTCTACCCTTCCCTTATTACCCTTTTTATATACTGGGCAAATTACCCCCACTTTCCATCCCTCCGGAAACCCACCCCCTCTCCATACGCTATTCATCCCCTCCAACAGCTTCACTCTCACCACCCTTGATGCTTCCAACCATGCCTCGTTCTGGATCCCATCTTCCCCTGGCGCCTTTCCCTTCTTCAATCCCATAAGCACTGCTTCCATCTCCTCTTCTGCTATCTCCTCTCCCCCATCTCCCTCATAGCCTCCCAAACCTGTTAGCCTCGTTTCAACCCCTCCCAATAATCCCATAAAGTAACTCTTGCAATCTGTCATGTGTATTTCGCTGGTTATCCTCTCCCTACCCTTCTTTGTCTTTTTCAGATACCTCCAGACCTCCCCTTCCCTTGTTATCCTGCTAATCTCTGCCGCCTCCTTCTTCCTCAGTTCTGTTTTCTTTCTACTGCATAACTCTCTGTATCCTCTCCTGGCCTCCCTATATCTATCCACCCCTATCTTCCCCCGTCTCCACTGCCTCAACCTCCTTCTCGCCTCCCTCTTCGCCTTCCTACACTCGCCATCATACCAGTCGTTCCTCCCTACTCTGCCGCCCCTACGTACACACTCCCTTTTCAGTGTTGCCTCCCGCACTACCTGAATAAGTTCTTCCCAACCATTGATCTCTTGTATCTTCTGTTGCCAAGTGTCGAGGTTTCCCCTGTAGAATGCTACCCCTTCTTCCGACCAGTCTGTCCTGATGAACTTGTTCCCCAGTTCCGCTCGTCTTCTGCCGTCCACCCCCTTTTGGCAGCGAGGAAGATTATCTTTGAAGGTCTGGTTAGCAGTGTGATGATGTATGGGGCAGAGGTATGGGGATGGAGGGAGCAGGGACCGCTGGAGGACGTGCAGGCTAGATATTGGAGATGGGTGCTTGGGGTGGCGAGAGAAACACCGGGGTATATAGTGAGGGAAGAGGTAAAGGTGGATAAGGTCAGGGTGGAGGCGGGCAGGAGAGCAGTGAAATATGAAGAAAGAATAGAAGGGAGGCCAAACTGCGGGATCTTGGGGGAGTGTTGGAGGGAAATTAGAGAGGGAAAGATCAAATATGGGAAAGGAGACAGAGACAACTATTATAGACGAACAGGCTACTCGGTAACTGAGATAAATAGTAGACGAAGGGTGGGTAGGGAGATGTGGAGGGGCTGCCTAGGTACTTGTTATTGGAAGGAGATGAGGAAGGGAAGAAGTTGGTGGCTAGGTTCCGCTGTGGAAACGAGGAGAGAGCTAACAGATACTGGATGGCCGATGAGGAAAGGTGGTGTAGGCTATGCAGGTAGGAATGGGAAACGTTGGAACATATGTTGAATGGGTGCAGTGAGTTGAGGGGGGAGGAGTTGGACCGAGGGCAGATCTTAGGAGAGGGGAAACGATGGATGAGAAAGGTTGTGGGGGTAAGGAGACCAAGGGAAGGATGAGGGGATGATTGGGCCGAGGAGCCGAGGGTATGGAAATGGAGGAAGAGGGTAGAGGGTGAAAATAATATACTAATAATATATATATTAGAATGTATTAAGGGGATAAAAATTGTAAATATTAAAAACAATAAAATGCTTATTACTTACGTATTTATTAAATTTAGGTCTAAATTTTAAATTATTTTTATTATTCTTTACTTTAGAATGACATATGGCGCTAATATGACCAACCTTATTACACGTGTGACATTTCGCTTCTCTGAAGAAACAGTTGGCGGCGCTGTGATTTTCCTTTCCACAGTGCTTACATCGTTTCCCTCTGGTGGACGAATCTTGCGTTGACGATTTTCCCGGCTTGACTTCCTGTTGATGGCGTCCAACCACCTGGAATTTATTCATCTGTGTTGTTGATCCCATTACAAACCCCGCGTTGATTGCTGCAGATTCCATACCAATAGCTAATGTACACGCCGTATCGTACGTTAAAGTTGCTTCCGAAAACAAACGTTGACGAATTATTTCGCTTTTTAAACCAAACACTATTTGATCTCGAAGGTTTTCTTCCAATTGTGCCCCAAAATTACAATTTTTTGCAAATTTCTTCAATTTTACCATAAAATTTGTAATGTTTTCCTCTGGTTCTTGTACAGTGCGACGAAATTTATAATGTTCTGCTATTTCCGACGGTTTCGGATTAAAATGTTTTTCCATTTTTACTACTAAATCTTCAAATTTCTCATCTTCCGGTTTCTTGCTGCATAAATCCGTTAATATATCAAAAGATTCTACCCCCATAACCGTAATTAACATGGCCGTTTCGAGTTCCTGTTTTATTTCATTTGCTTTAAAAAATTGACGCTCACGTGCGATATAAGATGTCCAG